GACTGTGGCTACTTTAACTGGCCATCTTAGTTACTCCTGGCAGCATTTTAAAAAGCAGTTTAAGTATTATCATTCTATATTTGGGGGAAAACCTACTGTGGGAATACTATCCTAAGAATCAAAAGGTGAACATATTAGAATCTTGGTGGCAGGCACACCCCTAAAATTTTTTTTTTTTTTTTTGTGACAGAGTTTTGCTCTTGTTACCCAGGCTGGAGTGCAATGGTATGATCTCGGCTCAATTTAACCTCAGCCTCCTGGGTCCAGGCAATTCTCCTGCCTCAGCCTCCTAAGTAACTGGGATTACAGGCACGTGCCACCATGCCCAGCTAATTTTTTGTATTTTTAATAGAGACGGGGTTTCACCATGTTAACCAGGATGGTCTCGATCTCTTGACCTCATGATCCACCCGCCTTGGCCTCCCAAAGTGCTGGGATTACAGGCTTGAGCCACCGCGCCCAGCCACCCCTAACATTTTTTTTTAAATAAAATTAAGATCTAATTCTCACACCATAAAATTAAACATTTTAAAGAGTACAATTCAGTGGTTTCCGGTATATTCACAAAGTTGTGTAATTATCATCATTATCTATCTTTAGAATTTTACCTCTCTGAAAAGAAACCCTATAGCTATTAGCAGTCTTTCCTTGTTCCTTCCTTCCTTCCTTCCTTTTTTACTTCCTCTCTCTCTCTCTTTTCTTTCTTTCATTTTGAGACATGTTCTCACTTTGTTGCCCAGGCTGCAGTGCAGTGGCACAGTTATGGCTCACTGCAGCCTCACCCTCATGGGGCCCAAGCAACCCTCCCACCTCAGCCTCCCAAGGAGCTGGGAGCACAGAGGTATGCCACCACACCTGGCTAATTTTTCTATATTTTCTAGAGACAGGGTTTTGTCATATTGCCCAGGCTGATCTCAAATTCTTGGGCTCAAGTGATCTGTTTTCCTCAGCCTCCCAAAGTGCTGGGATTACAGGTGTGAGCCACTATACCTGGGCTTGCCATCTTTAAATTGGGTTGTCTTTTTATTTTTTAGTTGTATGAGTTCTTTATATATTCTGAATACAAGTCTCCCATTAGAAATATGATTCTGTTTTCTTCCATTCTATGGATTGCCTTTTTATTTTCTTAATTATGTTTTGAAACAGAAAAAGCTTTATTTGGATTGAGTTCAATTTATCTGTTTTTCCTTTGTTGCTTCTGCTTTCTGTGTCATATCTAAGAAAACCATTGCCAGTCTAAGGTCACCAAGATTTAATTCTATGTTTTCTTCGAAGATTTTGTAGTGTTAGCACTAATATTTAGTTCTGTGATCTTTTTTGATACATATATATATGTGTGTGTGTCTGTATATATATACTATACATATATATAGTATGTATATATATATCTATACAGACACACACACATATATATATCTCACATATATATGTATAGTATATATAGAGTATGAGATAGGGTTCCAATTTAATTCTTTTGAATCTGTTTCCTTTTAGGTCAAGTGAAAAGTGCCAAATCTATAACAAGCAATGATCAGAAGAGAAGTCAAGATGATACCTTCCACTGAACATATGCTTTGTAAAAGGCCACATTTTCTTCTAGTATCTGAAAGACAAACCTATTCATGCCATTTCAGATTGAGATAATATACGTGGGTTTAAGTATTTAAGTACAACATTACATCACCCTCGTTTTGTTTGACCTATTCAGCATGCTTACGTCCAGACTCTCTGGCCTTGCCTCTGCTCCTCCAAGCACAGCCCCATGTGAGTTTCACGTGCTCCTTCAGGAAAGCACTTGGGCATAAATTACCTGCAAAGACCACGTGGAGGCTTTAATAACTACTCAGAGAATCTAATAATTTTCTGTGTAACGGAGGCATTCCATATAAAAGGACATACTTGGCTGTTTCCAGAGGAAAAAAAATGTTCTCCCTCTCTAAAAAGGAAATCTTAGGGAATGACACTTGGAGCAAGGAAATATTAAGACTTGGATTAGAAGCCTCTGGGTACAACCATCACTTTTTATGACCAAAATAAAATTTACCTATGAGGTGGGACTTTACCTCTGAGTAAACCCCCTCTTTATCTTTGACCTCCATCTATAAATTAATAAACACAAATCTGTATAGTTTTATATTTAGAAGAGTTCTCCTATTCTATAAGGCTGACAATACAGATATTGTAACTGAACTGAAGGCCATTTCCGCTCCCATTCTGTTTCATATTTCCTAGGTTTTAAATACTATAGTCGGTTTCATATTGGTCGTTTGGAAAGCCTTTTATCTAGTTTATTTAATCAAGCATCTCAACCTTCTCTTACATGTAACTTTATGGAAAATTTTTATAGAAAAGAAAATGGTTTTTAAAAAGCACTTATTCTTTGTTCTTACGACTTTCTCCTCTTTGTCTTGTCCTGAAAGCTAGTTTTCTTTTATGGGGAGAAGGAAAAGAAATGAGTAATTCAGTAATATTTTATCAGTTGACATTTACTTAATTTTTAAGATAACCCTGTTTTAAATGTCTCCCAAATTTTAAAGTTTTTAATCTTTTTAATGTATGAACAATTCAGTTTTAATTTTTTAAAGCAAAAGAACACTGTAATAACTCTCACACACGTTTTTGGCCGACCCAGTGGGTGTTTATGGAGCAGTACAAAGAAGGTCTGTGTTTGCTCTTTTTTCTTTTTTCCTTCCTTCTCCCTTCTCCCTTCTCCCTTCCCCTTCTCCCTCCCCTTCCCCTTCTCCCTCCCCTTCCCCTTCCCCTCCCCCTCCCCTCCCTTTCCTTCCCTCTCCTCCTCCTCCCCTTTCTTCCTCTTTCTGTCTCTCTCCCACCTACCCCCTTTCTTGACTGGGTCTTCCTTTGTTGCCCAGGAGCTGTTGTGATCATAGCTCACTGTAATCTCTAACTCCTGCACTCAAGTGATCTTCCCACCATGACTGGCTAATTAAATAATAAACATTTGAAAGCTGGGTGCTAGCTCACACCTGTAATCCTAGCACTTTGGGAGGCTGAAGCAGGTGGATCTACCTGAGGTCAGGGGTTCGAGACCAGCTTGGCCAACATGGTGAAACCCTATCTCTACTAAAAATACAAAAATTAGCTGTATGTGGTGGCATGTACCTGTAATCCCAGTGATTTGTGAGGCTAAGGCAGGAGAATCACTTGAGCCCAGGAGGCAAAGGCTGTAGTGAGCTGAGATCACATCACTGTACTACAGCCTGGGTGACAGAGCAAAACTCCATCTCAAAAATAAATATAAATAAATAAATAAACATTTTGCAGAAATAGAGTCTTGCTACATTTCCCAGGCTAGTCTTTGAGCTCCTGGCCTGAAACATTCATTTTGACTTGGCCTCCTGAAGTCCTGGGATTACAAGTGTGAATCAATATGCCTTGCCCATTTTCTTAATCAGTATATTATGAGAAGACCAGTGTTCTTAAGCACTGCGATAATTTAGGAAAAGTCCAGGTACCACTTCCGTCATTTCTACTCTAACTCCACATTTTCTAGCTTGGATTTTGAATACGACATTACTTTCCAGGTGTATGTTCCTGATTAGGGAGCAGTTCCTGAATCTTACTTCAGAGATTCCTAAATTAGACCAAGGCATTTCTGGATAAAATAAATCTATTCCCTCTTTATTCATCTTTGAATCCTTATCCTTAAATGTTTTATAGCTTTTGATACATTCGCTGATGCTGTTTTTAAACTCCTTGTGTTGGCACCTTTATACCAGTTATGATTCCTCTACTCTCTTAAAACTGCTTTTCTAACTCCTTCATCAGTTACTCGTCTTCATCTTGCCCTCAGTTGTGGGAATTTCTCAAAATTCAATCCTAACCCTTAGCAAAGCAATCTGTAATTCTCTATTCCATGACCTTTCCTGTCACGAGTATTATGAAGAATGAGTCCTTCCCTCTTTAGAGCACCCATAGTCCTAATAGCCTCACACTATATCCTACTTAATTGTTCACAAGTTTATCTTTCCATGTGAATTGTAAGCTTTTTGAGTGTAGAGACTTTGTCTTGTTCTTTCTTATACCTAAAAAGTTTGTAAGATAGTAAGTTAGTAAATCATTGAATGAATTATCTTTTAGTGATACCTTGTACATAGAACTCATCGCCTCTTCATTAATTTATAGAGCTTGTTCACCTTTATAAAAATGACTTCCCACACTTATCTCCACATCTTGCCCCATTTTAATTCCTACTCCTCTAGCAGATAAGCCACATATACATTCAACATTGTAATTCTATGCCTAATTTCTCCTCTGACCTTCTATCTTCTAAGACTTCACCTTGAATGTCACTTTACTTTTTAGCATGTGAGCCCAGTGATTACCAACAGATTCCTCAATCTCATGTCAAAGATTCCTTTGATGTGAGAACCTGAACATTTACTTATATCTATAGATTTGCAATTTTAGTCCATTTTGAGAGATATAGTATCTCTTGTTACATACTGTTGCAATGAATTATATTCATAGGAGAGTTTAAATGCCCTTTTGCTTTGAGTTTGAGCATAGGTAGCTGCATACATAGGTAGCTGCATACATAGGTAGCTGCATGGCTTTTTTTGAACATCCACAAAATAATTACTATCCGAAGTGCATACTAATAAATCAATAAAGCCTCCACATTATTTGGGAAGTAGTCAATTGAAGGCTAAATTCAATGTTATGATAACTTTCAGACAGTAGTTCTTTAGACTTTCGTATTTAATTGACCAGAAAAAAAGGAATGGCCACGTATCCCTTCTCATATGCTCTTCTTACAATATGGTCATGACATTCCTCGCATAGAGAGGTGTGTCTCTGTTCTTTCCTCTTGAATCTGGGCAGGCTTGTCGCTACAGTGGAAATGATTCTGTGTGATTTGAGGCTGGATCATAAAAGGTGATGAGTTCTTAGCCTAACTAGAGGAAATGCTTTCTCTTGAGATGCTCACTTTTGGAAACCAGCCTGTAGAGAGATCCAAGGGGAGGAACTGAGACTCCAGCCCACAGCCTTGGCTGAGCTCTGGCCTGCAGTCATCCCCAACTTGCCAGCCATATGAGTGAGCCATCTCAGAGCAGATCCTCCAGTCAAGCCCGCCCAGCTGATGCTGTATGGAGTGGAGACAAGCCTTCTGTGCTGAGCCCTGCAAAAAATTGCAGATTTGTGAATGAAATAAATGATTGTTGTTGTTTTAAGCTACTCAGTTTTGTGTTTGTTTGTTACTCGGCAATATTCACAAATTTTACAACTTGGAAGTGAGAAATTGACATAACAAAACCTAAAATATACGGCATTGTCTTTGGGACTGGATAGGCAGAGGCCAGAAAGGCCTGGAAGAAGGTGTGGGTGAAAGCTACCGCCCTTCAAGTGAGGAAGGAGACCCAGGCGTCTGAGATCAACTTCCCCTTTGACTATCACACTGCATTTCAATAGAAGAAAAGGCTGACCGACTGGTGCCGCCTGTTTCACCTTCCTGTAGGTGGCAGGCGTGGTCTTGGGGAAACTCTCCGGAAGACACTGCTTTTACTTAAAACAAGATCAAACCCGAAACCTTTTCACAAATGCATCCTAAAACTGTAAACCGGAACCCTTTCATATGTGATTCCTGAAGCTGTAAACCGGAACCCCTTCATATGTGATTCCTGAAACTGTAAACCGGAACCCTTTCATATGTGATTCCTGAAACTGTAAACCGGAACCCTTTCATATGTGATTCCTGAAACTGTAAACCGGAACCCCTTCATATGTGATTCCTGAAACTGTAAACCGGAACCCTTTCATATGTGATTCCTGAAACTGTAAACCGGAACCCTTTCATATGTGATTCCTGAAACTGTAAACCGGAACCCCTTCATATGTGATTCCTGAAACTGTAAACCGGAACCCCTTCATATGTGATTCCTGAAACCGTAAACCGGAACCCTTTTCATATGTGATTTCTAAGACTGTAAACCCAAGATTCTTCCACATGTAATATCTAAAGTATAAGCCTATATAAAGGCGGAATCTTCCTTTGTTAGATAAGCTGAGCTTTGGACAAATTATCGCTCAGGCTCCTTCCTTCTCCATTCGGTGTTCTAGAGATTTCCCGTGGCTGCTCCTGCTACAAAAGTATAGTATTAGCAGAAGCCCTAGGACCCTCTAAGGAGGCTACTGGTGAGTTTATAGTAAAGAGAAGAAAATGTTACCAGAAGCTGGAGAAAAGGGGCCCTTGTTAGGTGATGGTGGGCAAGTTTGGCCACATTTTGTCTATTTAATGAACTTCAATGACCCTGCTAAGGATATTTCCAGACGGAGTGTTCAAATACCACCTGGCTTCTACTAAAAGAAAGAAACTGAGAAGGAACATTTCAGCTTTCAAATAAAATTTAGAAGATACATAAAAGAGCCAGTGCTCACTGGCTTTCAAAATAAAATTGCTTTTCAATCCTATCCTTTCTAGAGGGCAAAAAGTTCTCCACCTAAGAAATGGTTTCTGGGAAAAGATGAAATCCATGGTAGAATTATAAAGTCATTTGTTAAGAACTCGGAAATGTCTAAGGTGGTGCCTCATAGAACCTTTCAGACTTGAGGTGGGCTTTCTCCATACAGCTGGGAAGGTGGCCTCTAGCTGCTCTGGGCAGTCAGCATCACAACTAAACCCAAGTGGTGAGAGAACAGCTGTCTCCCAATAATGGAATATACCAACCTAGGGAACGATCTGATTGGTGCTGTCTGAGTCCGTGACCCCTCCTGAACCAATCATAATGTTAGGGGATGGGAAACTGACTAACCCTCCTATGTTATGTGTCTATCTCAGTTAAATAGTATTATCTCTTATCAGAAGATGGAGGTGGGAGAAAATACACTGGGCAGCCTCTCAGCACTCAACTTCACAAATTTACCAGCATCTCCTCTAGTTGGATTTATTTAAAAAATGGTGAAATATAACTTTATTATTATCATAATTTTTTTTAAAGCTCTATGGGAAAGGTTGTAATGTAGAGAAATTTGGTCATCTCTATATTTTAGTTATGTGCTTTCTTTAGCTTTCAGAACTATGTGTAAGCTAGCTGACTTCTTATGGATTTCCTCCAAGTTTTCCTGAAGTATAAGGATTTTTCTAAAGGACGTGGGAAATCTGAACTTCAAGGAGTCTTAACTGCTTGGGTTAGGTGAACCAAATGAGCCTGAGGGGACAGCAGTTAGGATAGGAACTAAATGGTACCTGGAAGGGCATTACTGAAATTGATCTGAGGCAGTGCTGAGATCAGTTTGACTAAAGAGAGTCAAACTTAATTCTGAGAGGAATCAAGGTGACAGCCAGTATTGAAGATGAGAGTGGGAGGGTAGTGAACTTGGTAATGAGGTGAGTTAAGTAAAGGCAGAAGAGGTAAAAGTAAGAAATGGATCCCGCCGGGCGCAGTGGCTCAAGCCTGTAATCCCAGCACTTTGGGAGGCCGAGGCGGGTGGATCACGAGGTCAAGAGATCGAGACCATCCTGGTCAACATGGTGAAACCCTGTCTCTACTAAAAATACAAAAAATTAGCTGGGCACGGTGGTACGTGCCTGTAATCCCAGCTACTCGGGAGGCTGAGGCAGGAGAATTGCCCGAACCTAGGAGGTGGAGGTTGCGGTGAACCGAGATCGTGCCATTGCACTCCAGCCTGGGTAACAAGAGCAAAACTCTGTCAAAAAAAGAAAAGAATCTCTTAGGAGAGGGCCTGTGAATGAGACAATTTTTTTAAACATGGTACTTGGCATTATAGTAGGGATGGGCCCAGGGGCTTAAAAGAACCACACCAGTTTGTACAAAAAAGGAATTCATAAAGAATATTTTAGGAGTTAGTATGTGGGCACCAATGTTGCTTGTCACAGTCGTAGAGCTGTTAACTTTAATTCTGTTTAGTCTCAAGTAGGAATTGATACTCACTTGTCAGAGGTTTCTTGATACATAGTGAAGGAGTAATCTTACTGCTATGATGTTCACTTTGGTGCCCTCTGGAAGATGATGTGCAGCAAACTTGATGAATGTGGCACAGGAATGAGAGAGAATTTGTCACCAAACAACCCTTCCTTGTAAGTAACCCACAAATTGATGATGATTATTCATTTGTTTAATATTTGTAATGTATTTGTTTTTAGTGATTAGATTTGAGGCAAGAAGTATGTAAGTTCAGCATCATGGAATTTGGGATGCATTTGTCATTGCATGAAGAATGGGTGATATTCTTTCTTCATATTAAGGACCAGAAACCAATGATAAATAGGAGTTAGGAAAATGAGAGTGAGCAACACTGAAAAGGAAGGAAAGGTAGAAAAAGAAAATGAAACAGGAGGACTAAAAGATAACTAGAGAGGAGACAAGACTGTGTTGAAGAGGGGGTTGAGCCAGATAATGTTGGCATAACAAATATAGAGTATATTAAAAATATAGAAGATTCTGTCTACATTAATATCTTTGACCATTTCAGCTATTATGTCAGAAAAAAAAAGTCAGTTAAGACAGTTGTGGGTGCCTACCTAGCTTGAGCATTAAGATATGAAAGCATCCCCAGAACCAGATCACTTGGCTTGTTCTGGATTGGGGGTTGGGATAATGTGGGCATCCAATCAGAATGAAAGCAGGTTGGCAAGAAGCCAATGGGAAGTAGGCATGGAAATAGACTTTGGCGTGATATCAGTTGGTAGTACTATCCCTGGCAAACAGACACAGAGCTGTGCATTGTTCTTTGGGATTTTGAGAGTCTTCATCTCAATTTCAACTTTGAACTAGCTTAATCTTGGAGGAACATATCTCTGATCTGGGTAATTTGGAGAAGAACTTAACTTGAGGGTCATTAACACGTGAGGATAGCAGGGGTTGAAGACGCTAAGGACCTGAAGGGCTACTGGAGGGACTGGTGAAGGCATTTGAAAATGTAGCATTTTGAATCTCTTTCTGGTCCATCCTCTGCTTCATACCAGAATCATTGTGACCTGTAGACCAAACGAGTAAAACAAGGGACCAAAGATAAGCCTTAAATATTATTGGAGGTACTCTAGAATTTTTAGGTTAAAGCTAGCTGCAAGAAAAAATAAAACAGAACAAATTTTTCTCAAGACCACTACATAGATTTGCACAGGGTACATCCTAACAGAGCACCAATTGAGGTGGGGGACTGAGGCTGAAATCCAGCCTGGTAGTCACATCTCAAGCTGTGTGCCCTGTTATCAGGCTTCATTGCACTGCGGAAGGGGGCCTTTCTCTAATTCACTCAAAGGCATCATATGATCAATGCTCAATCTTGGTCTTTTCCTTTATTTTTAGGTTATTTACCCTTATCCTCACTCCAAAACCTTAACTGGTGCACTCAACTTGATTTTGTTTCCCATTCACCATTTTTTTATTTGAAGGGTGCAGAGAGAAGAAAAAGAGATATTGGGGCTGGAGTGGTAAAATGGAATTCCAGAATGATTATACCCACAGAGGAGGAGGGGCATAACATTTATCCTTGCATCTTCTCCCTCAGAGAGTTCAGCCCATCAAATATTTTTGGAGAGCCTATCTTGTGCCACATACCATGTGCACAGCCTTAAGGAAAGTTTGGGCACTGGCCTTTGAGAAACTCCCTGTCCAATGGGTAAAGCAAGCACATTACCATATTGGTACAATGGTAAGTGTGCCAATCAATGCACCCCCTTTTCCATATGCATGTAACAGTACAAGGAGTAAATACTAATTCTGCTGTTAGTGTTCCTATAAAATGTTCTTGGAGCAAGAGATAGGACAAGAGGTATTAATGTGTGCTCTGTGACAAGAAGCGACATGCTCAGATCTGAGTGTGGCACAATCTTAGGTAGAAAGACCATGGATGAATTGGGTTTTGGTAGGTCTCATGTTCTTTTTGCATGCTGTACAGGTTAGTGTGTAGAAGTGAAAGTGTCAATAATAACTGAAACGACTCCATCAAGTTAGGTCTGGGGAAAAGCAGCAGCAAAAATGAGTCATTACTTCTGGTCACAAAACAAAAGTACCAGACCTGATTTACTCTGCGGGCATCCAGCTGACTACCTTGTTGAATACAAACATTTCATAATGCTTGTATGTTTCATTGTTGCTTTGGGAGGTAGGCGATTGTTTTTGAAATTCATCTTTGTTCTGTGAACCTTTTGTCAATGCAGAAAGCCATCACAACTACATACGTTAAAAGAAAGGGCCCAATGAAAAGATAAAGACATGAGAGAATACTGTCAATCTTGCTTCATTTAATTATAAGTAGTGTCTATTCTGTATTCCTGTATTCAGTAACATTTGCTAAGCATGGTAGTGTGGTAGACATGTAAGAAGAATAACTTAACTTCAAGGAGTCCTCTTGTGGGAGAGATTGGCAAACACATAATTACTGTGCAGTGTGTTAAATATAACTATAAAGGTGTGGCCAAGATTCTCTGCTCACAAGAAGGAGGAAGAGCTGTACACTGCCTGCCTGGCCAGACCTAACCTAACCAAAATATCTGAGAGAGGGGAGGACAATGGGAGCAAACACACAAATAGAGCCCAGGCATACAATTCATGATTTACTTAATTGATGTCATTAATTTTGTCCATTTTATTATGGCTTTTGATGTGATCTTTCTTCAGAGGATATAAATAACCCATCCCAATCCCAATAAGAAAATTAGGAAAGGCTTCACAAATAAGGACCTCTCAATGATTAAGAATTCAGCAGGTATAGTGAATGATATTCATACGGATCAAGTAACATATTCAACACACAGATGCTTTAGTCTGCAATTCAATTCTAGAGATTAGGAAAAAGTTTCTAGACTCCTGTAAAATAAAATTTATTTGGGAAAAATAACTGCTTTAAAATCCTTTCTGGAACTAGGAATACTATATAGAAACAAATAATGAAGCAAATATGCATAAAGAACTCCTTCAATTTAACCCATTGTATTAAGGAGTGAAATTGCTTTCTTTGGGGACCTTTTTATTTTATTATTTTTTTATTGCATTTTAGGTTTTGGGGTACATGTGCAGAACATGCAAGACATTTGCATAGGTACACACATGGCAGTTTGTTTTACTGCCTTCCTCCCCTTCACCCGCGTTTGGCATTTCTCTCTTTGGGGATCTTTAATGTACTCACTAATGATCTTGGTCCCTTTTGATATCGCAGGTGCTGACGACCATGAACTAGCTCTATATCCTTTATAGAGACGAATGCTTCAGTAATAAAGAGCATTGCAGAGATAGTGTAAAAAACATTTCTTAATCTGGTCTTACCTGTAAGAACTGCAGATGCTCTTTGATTATCAGGTTGTGTCCTAATAAACCCATCATAAATTAAAAATATTGTAAGTTGAAGTGCATTTAATACAACGAACCTACTGAACATTGTAACTAAGACTAGCCTACCTTAAAAGTTTTCATAACACATCAGCCTACAGTTAGACAAAATCATCTAACACAAAGTCTATTTTATAATAAAGTATTGACTATCTCAGGTAATTTAGTAAATATTGTACTAAACATGAAAGGCAGAATGGTTGTACGAGTACTTGAAGTATAAATTTCTTCCAAATGTGTATCACTTTTGCACCATCCTAAAGTAAATCAAGACCTTCTGTATCAATATTTAATGATGTGGCTTGACTTATAACTGGAAGTCAGGAAATGCAGAATCTGGGATGCCAAAGATGTAGCCTGAGGAAATTTTGGGAATGATGTATGTGTTTTGTTTCTTAGTTGTGGTGTGATTACATAACTGCATGCATTGATCAAAACTCAAATAACTGTACACCAAAAGAGTAGATTTTACTGTTTACAAATTGAAAAGAAAGTTTTTAAAAGAAATATATTTGGACTTTTTCTCACATGTTATTTTGTCCTTTTATTTACCAAGCTTTTTCTCATTCTTCCTTTTCTCAATTAATTGAGTTAATTCAGTTTCTTTAATCCCTTTGTTCCCTCTACCAATTTAACAGTTTTATGTTCTATTTTTTTTGTGGCAGGCATTTGTGGCTGCTTATCCAATAGGCAGTCTCCCTTTCTTTCTGACTAATAGAAACTCGAAATTTTTTGGTTGGTATGGCAATAGGCCTAGTGTGAAATATCATATTTCCAAGACTTCCTGACAACTTTGGTAGCTTAACAAGACAGTTCTGCCAATGAAAAATGTACAAAAGTTTGCTGAATAGCCTTCTAGAAAGCCCTCTTGGGGGTCAAATCAGTTGGCATGTGCTTTTTGCCCTTTGCTTTAACTTGCTTTCTGCCTGGAGCCCTCCAGTGGGCTGAAATGAGTATCCATCTTGAGATTGTGAAGTGGTGACCATGAAAACAGACATAAAGATGGTTGAACACAACGAGAAAAAAACAGCCTGAGTCCTTAAGAGCATTGGGAGCCACCATCCTAGCACTAGGCTGCTTATTCTGGACTTAGGATTACTTGAGAAAAACAAAATCTCCATTTATTGACATTATAAGTGCTCTTTTCTGTTAAATGCAGTCAAAATTGCTACATTCCTAAATGCAATTTTCTTAGTGGTTTCATACATTTTAAAAATCTTGAATTACACAGAAAGGGGAGTACTAAACAGTGGGGTCTATTGGGGGGAAAAGGGGAGGGCCAGTGGGAGGGGGAGGTGGGGAGGGATAGCCTGGGGAGAAATGCCAAATGTGGGTGAAGGGGAGAAGAAAAGCAAAGCACACTGCCATGTGTGTACCTACGCGACTGTCTTGCATGCTCTGCTCATGTACCCCAAAACCTATAATCCAATAAAAAATTAAAAAAAAAAAAAGAAAGAAAACATCAAAAAAAAAAATCTTGAATTGTAATAATTATATTTGATTTAACAAGTCTAAAGCTAAATAGCTCTACCTTCTTCCAAATAATGCAGGAACTTCAGAATGCTTTGATCATCCTTTCTCATCTTATATATTATTACATTATTGACATAGTACTAACATCCCTGAAATTAGTCATTATCATTATTATTACTACTGCAACGTTTTAGCTACCAGTGCTTCTCTCCACTCATCTACAAGCTTACCAATTTCAATTTCTTTACTCACTGCTCCTTTTTGCATCCAACTCCATCTTTTGGGATTCAGCTTCCTTTTTCCTGAATTTTTGCTCTAGTGACTTTTTAAAAATTGTATTTTTTAATTGACTAATAATTGTACCTAGTTATGAAAGACATAGTGATCTTTCCATATCTATAATGTATAATGATCAGATCAGGGTAATAAGCATATTCATCAACTCAAACATTTATCATTTCTTCATGTTGGGAACATTCAATGTCTTCCTTCTAGCTACATGAAACTATATAATATATTGCTGTTAAATATAGTCATCCTGCAGTGTTATGGAACACTAGAAGTTATTTCTATTTAGTTGTGATTTTGTATCCTTTTCATTAAAGATCTGTGAGTAGTCATCTTTATTCATTTCATCTTTTTTCTTAGTGGTTTCATCTTTTTTCATTTAGTCTTTGTTTCTCTGAAAATGTATCTATTTTGTCTCAATTTGGATAATACCTGAGCTTAATTGTTGCTTTTGAGACAACTGCTATTAATGTAATTGTCATT